CCGTGGCCGTGGCCGTGGCCGTGGCCAGCACCAGGGCCCTCGTGGGACCTGTTGTGGGCATCGATGGCCACGAGGCTCAGCGTGGTCAGGAACTCGGTGAACTTGAGGCGGCCGTCGTGGTTGGCGTCGGCTTTGGCGAAGAGCTGGCTGATGTAGGTGTCGGTGCTCGTGTTGGGCTGCGGGGGGACAAGCGGGGAGCAGAGTCAGCTCGGGCTGAACCCCAAAAAAAACCCTTTTGGGGAAGCTCCCGAGGGCCTCCATCCCCAGGGATCCCGCAGCGCTCGGCTCCTCCATCCTTGGAAGCGTCCAGGGTGAGATCCGACCCTGGCGGGAGCTGTCCCTGCCCAACACCCCCGGAACGAGGGGATCTCCCAGGCCCTTCCCCCCCAGCCCATCCCGGGGCTCCGGGACCTCACCGGCGCCGTGTTCCGGAGGAAAGGCTCGGCCGTGTCCTTGAGCAGCTTGGAGAACTCGTTCTTGCTCAGGTAGTCGTCGATGGGGCGCCGCGCCGCGTACCGGTGGTAAACATTGATGGCGCATTCCAGCGCCAGCTCCAGGTCGGTTTTCATCCTGCTGGGAAGGGACAAAGGGCACAAACCTTGGAGGGAACCCCGGGCTGGCAGTCCACTCATCCCAGGGGCTCCGGCTGGAAGGAGCCGCTCACCTCGGAGGAGTTCTGGGCTCTGCAGGAGCAGCGGGGATGGATGGAGTGATGCTCAGCTGGGGAATGACACCTTTTATACCCTCCCAGGGCTGCAGCCTCCGCTTCCCTCCGGGCCAGTAACCCCGGGAATTGTGCAAGGCAGCGCAGCACGCCCAGGTGAGCATTTCGTGTTTCTCACCCGGCTCCAGGAACTCTTCTCCAGGGAGGGGAAGCCCCAAACCCGTCAGGCAAAACAAGGAAACGCCAAAAATGACATCGGTGACAGGGCGGCCCCGGGGGTCAGCGATGGCACAGGGACTTTTCCAGAACATTCCCCCAGCGTTTGAGGGAGATGTTGGCAGAGGAACTTTTCCCGCTGGGGGTCTCCAGCGGGATGACGCTGGTTTCGATCAGTTGGGGGTGATGTTTTTGGTGAATGTGGCTGCTGGATGTGGCCAGCACATCCCACCCCTCCATGGGGACATCCCAGGGACTCGTGTCGGAGCTCTGCCAGCCGGGCCTGGGAGGTGGCACTTCCCAGCAGCTGGAATTGCTGCCTGGCAACAACCCAGGGCATTGGCAAATGCTGCCCGTCCCCAGCTGTCCCCCCAGTCCCGGGGGGCATCCCAGTGCCCCACACGGAGCCCTCCCGGTATTCCCAGTGCCCGGAAGGAGCTGCTAAACCCCAGTTTGTCTGGAGGGGGCTGGGGAGGAGCCCCAGGATTCCGATTTTTGGCCATTAAGGTTTTTGGGAAGTGGGGATGGCAGCGGTGGTGAAACATCTCCCGAGCAGCCCGGGAACCGCTGCCAGGAAAAGGCGGAATTGCAAAAGAGGGAGACAAAGGAGTTTGGGATGGGGACGGGCAGGTCCTTGCCGGGAAAGGGACACGCAGAGGGACACGGGTGACCCGACAGGGACACGGGTTGAGACAAGCCTGGGGATGTGCGAGGGCGTGGCTGGGCCACGTGGGGAGGGGACAGGGACACCTGTGAGCCATGGGGACACAGAGGGGACAGGGACACCTGTGAGCCATGGGGACAGAGAGGGGACAGGGACACCTGTGAGCCATGGGGACAGAGAGGGGACAGGGACACCTGTGAGCTATGGGGACAGAGAGGGGACAGGGACACCTGTGAGCCATGGGGAGC